GAATGTGCGTTTGGAGTGCGAACACGTAAGAATAGCATGGCCACTGCCGGTGTTACTTTCTAGACTTCTAGCCCTGGATTATTGCCCCTCGGCAAAGGTCTGCTGCGTAAACCCACTGGGCAAATAGTCGTTAAGTACGATTATAACACCGACCGTGGCCATGACTGTATTGGGTAAACCCGACCCTTTTTCTGTAAACATTTAATGAAAACTCGAACGTAACCGCAACCTTAACCTCGAGCCTAATTCTTAAACCCCAACCCTAGCCTCAGCCCCAAATCCAAACCACACCCCAAGTCTGCCAACCCCAGTCCTTAGAATGACTCAATTCCTGGCACCCAGCCTAACCGTAGCCCCAAGTCTAACCACTAGTCCAATACGGACAACTCTAACGTCGCGACCTATGGCCAGGCAAACCGTTATGACCCACACCTGACCAAGTAAGAAGGTAGATTTCTGGAGAGCCGCTCAGGCGGTAGGGGGTTACATACCGTACCTTCACCGTCACCCCCCTTCCCGGTCCTTCCGTGTCTCTTGTATGCGCCAACGGTTGGTGCCCCTATCTTTGGCAAATCGCTGGAGTCGGATTGGAATTCGAGGTCATCCCGGCCAGGAAATGTGGGTGCCAAATTCGCCCAGGCAACCAATGAGGTGGAAAGAATTCTCAAGAAGGGTTGGAAAGGAGCTGATATACAGTGAGTGACTGATCTCGTGAAATATTGGCCGAAATGCGTCTTCGATTAGGCAGGAGGGATTGTTTAGTTGGGGCGGTAATAATAATAATTATTATTATTATCCTGCGGCATAATCCCACGATATTTAGGACTTACCAGACTGTTGTTGACTGCACTTAGCTGCGACTTCCTGCAAAAACTGCATTCGGTAAAAAAAGTAACTACCTAGGTAGCATGCATTTTCACATCGATTTTCGGCTGTCTTATAAAATCTAATGTATTATATAGAAAAAGTGCTCAAAAATATGCTTCTTTTACTTATTGGGTAGCACATCACATCGTCTTTACATTTTATACTCGAAGAAGTGATATATTTTGGTTTTCGGTAGAAATTTTCCAGTTTCCCATTATTTTGGACCAGATCAGCCGTTGCATTAGCGTTGAGCAATTTCAGTCTGCAAGGTGTATACTTTCTGCGTAAGAAAACCCACATATTCCTCTATGCCTCTAGGAAGACACTATGTAGGGTTCATGAACTTTTGCAATGGATGCGGACCAGGTTGTATGGTTTAAGAGGGACATTAATAAACGGACAGGTACAACGTCATATAAATGGGCATTACACGGTGTAAGGAATCTTATATTTAGTAACCTTGTAAAACCGAAAGGTAGTCTCTCTTCGAATTTAAAATGAAAAGACGACATTACTTGCTATCTAAAAAGTAAAAGGATGTGCATTTCCGCACATGTCTTCCATAAAATATGTTTGGATTTTTAAGACCATTGAAAATCAGTGCGAAAGCTGCACACTACTTAATTATTCCTTCTTTGCCGACTGCGATTTTTACAGGCCAACTTCCTGGCGATTTTGAAATCTTATAGGATTTTGCCGCATAATGATCAATATTGCAGCCCCATCTAAGTAATCCTGCCTGATCGAAGATGCATTTCAGAATTTCGGCTAACATTTCATGAGGTCGGTCACTCACTGTATGTTCACTTTACCCTTTTTACCCATTTTCACTTCTTTCTCACCCTTCCTGGGAATTCCTTCTATCTAATGGGTTGCCTGCCGTTTTCCGAATGAGTGCAAGAGCGCCAGATTGAAACTGCAGGCCGAGGCAGTGTGAATATGTTCTCTCCCCCCGAAAACCGTCTTGTAAAACGTCAGTCCAGTATGCTTTTGAATGCTGCCGATCGCAAGACTTTTGAGTTTACAACCGTGACCTACGTCATTTTACAGCCGACTTGGACTTTCAGCCCTGTCCGTAACTCGAGCGTCTGCTCAAGCAAACCGAGCCGGTAGCCGTCTCGGTGGCCATGCATAATTCAGGACGAAGCTGCGCATCCCACCTCCTCCTCTCTTCGCTTCTACGTCGGTTGGCACTCCCTGCCCTCTCATCGTTTCTGCGCAACTGCAACTTCATCACCTACACAGCGATGGACCTCGCTAGATGGGAGACCGCACAGCAGACAACAGGGGCTAGTCGGAATTTACTATTATTCCGATAAAATTCTCACGTTAGCTACCTCTAGAGCACCTTTGGTAGAAATGAGCTTAGGCGCACAGAGTAAAAACCGAACACCCCACGTTCGCCTGCTACAGTCGACCTGGTGCCTAATTCCACCCGAACCGGACTTTGCAGTAGAGGATGTCTCGATCTCTGACATGTAGTCTAATCCTCGTTTCCGAAAACGAACAAGTCATGCTGTCTACTGCTAACCTTTCAGGCTCATCATGGTGCTGAAGAAGGAAACACGGTCGTTGGGACGAGATCTTTATTCGCCTGGCGTTACGGATTCCTGTTCGAACGCATCATCACAGGCAATAGCAGATAGGGGTGGTTCATGCACAGAGGGCTTCAGTAATTATAGGATGTAGTTGCCATGCTACCGCACACCTATGAATATGGACGGCTTCTTCGCCTTCATCAGGGATCGTTGCACTTGGCTTGATGACCGACATTCGCCTTGTTAATTGCTGTAATCTCATTACGTGTGGCGGATGTTGGTGTGGTGATTGCTCAACCATCTGTCCCATCGACCCTGGCTTGGGAAGACTGTTCACCTGTGCTCTCCCCGTGTAGCTAAATGCACCGCCTAGGCGAAGTGTCAGCACCGAGTATGGCAGGGGAAGTTCATTGCACTTGTTGATGGACTGGGGACCAGTAAACCATGATTCGAGTAACTCCCGGCTCACGCGGTTGTCACCTCTTGCGAGAATTTCGGCCTCGTCGAATTTCAATGTGTGGCCGGATCTCGTCGAATGAGCCGCAACTTCAGAGCTGACGTCATTTCTCCGAACTGCTGCAACGTGGTCGGCCATCCGCGTTCGGATCAGTCTTCCGGTTTCTCCGGCGTAGTTGCTGTGTCCTCAGCCACGCCAGATCCGATAAACGACTCCCGGCGTTTCTCGCCGTGGCAGTTGATCTTTCGTTTCCATTACCTGACGCCTGATGGTTGCCTCCGATCATCATGGTGCCCCCAGTCGCGTCGCCCTGACTGCGCCAGTGGAATGCACTGAATTGGCATGAGTTTCAAAATTGACTTGCCTCTCCTGACTCTCCCCCTCCCCCCCCTCTTTCATTTACCAACGGCCTGTACGAGCCTTTCGACCTGCGGGTGGTGCGATTGGCCGTTTCATGAGCCCCTGTCCAACGCGAGCCACACGCTTGTAGGGCGGTAGGTAAGGCCTCGCGCCGACTCAGTGCTACTTGACAGCCAGGAGGAGGCCAATTGCGGTCTTACGCATCTGCCCCTCAGGCGGCCGGAATGATTGACCGGAGGTGGCGTGACTTGCCTTCTCTCCACTAGGGGAAATTGATGGGTCGTCAAGCCGCATAACCACCCACCTCTCAGGCCCTCAGCGTGACAGCTGCCTCACGTAGGCCAAGTCGTTGCTGCCGCCAACACACCAGTTTGACAGGGCATATTTCGTCCTCAAATTTCTGTCTTTGCTAGTGAGCAGTGACCTTGTGATTGGTGCACACACAAGCCCGTGGATGATCAGGTTGAGTACTTCGAGGCGAAATATGATCGGGCATGTTCCCTCCCACAATCGGATCTCCGATCTTCTCTGTGGAATCTGGCGAACGTTAGTTCTCGACGTAAGAATGGTAGAGCTTTTCATTACGATCCTCAGTTTTGCCCCACCTACAGGAGGCGGCTACGTAACTGATTAAATGTGCGTAAATTACTGAAATAAATGAATGAGCAAATCAAACAGCGTTTATAAGATGTCCTTTGATAAGTTTTCGCCTAAGTACCCACCACGAATTGCTGTACTCCGGGGTTTGACATTTAGTCAACTTCTGTCTGATACTGCGTTCCAGAAGGGTTACGAGAAGTTCCGGCGTAATTTTTCCTATTTTCTTGATGATAGCTTGTTCATTCACATCTTGATCCACCTTTTTTACTAAGGACGACAAATAAATTTTCGAGTGTTGTTTTGGTAAACGTTTTCCGTTTTCATTAATACCCTCTACTAAAATAGCCCATTGGTGGACAAAGGTGGCCTAGGATAATTAGTAACATAGAAACTTGCTTGGCTACAAGGAGACACTGATTTCTGTTCACATTTACAAATCTCCTTACTTGGTAGCATTACTCAGAAACATAGTCTGCTTGAGAAAACGACTTCTCCCCGAACGCATCTGATGGCGAGCCCTTATTTCGTAGCATCACCTCTTAGGGTTTAGGGTCAGGGGTTAGTGTTAAACGAGCTGTTATCACCAGTCCCGTATGACAGGCGGCTGGGGCTTATCTACTGCAGGTACGGTTACGACGTAAGATCCGACTCATTTGACGAATCATTAGAATGCTGACCGTTTGAGATGCCTCAGAGGGCGCATGTGTAGCATCCGGCCTATATCATGAAATGTTGACCAAAATGCTGAATGTATGTTTTTGACTGGGGACCACCGTATGTGACATACCTCGCGGAAGATGCTAAAATTTACGAAAGATTGCTACTCACACGCAAACCGGCACTACCGAATGGATCAAAGCCTTAATATAATAATGAACGACTTTAAGTGGATGGAAATCAAAATTTTTATTCCGTTGTCTAGAAATACTGACTTTTTGAGGAATGCTGGAAATTCCGAAAACGTCAAAAATCCTTGTAGCTGAAAAAACACAAGGTGGAGACGTACAGAAGGTCTGTCCATGGAAAAAAAGACTAGAAAACAACACAACGCAAGCAGAATAACGTTTTAAAAGAGACCTTTGGCACTTACATATTCATTAAGAATTAGTGTAATGTCAAGTGTGACTGTTAACCAACAGTTCACAGTTTGAGTATCAATTTCAACATGGTTTACGAAAATTGGCTCTATTCTTTTCGTTATGCATTGTTTGGGATGCCGCTTACCAAGCCAAACAGGAATGCACTCGATTTCACCGATAGCGACGTCGCGGAACCTAAATTTTCCATAAAAATGAATGTTGATAGGTGGGTCAGGAACTAATAGAATTGTTAGGTGCAATCGTAAACAAACCGTTTTACGCGTAATAAGAGGAATTTTCTTCCGGCAAATTCCTTTATGGTTATTTTTAGTGCCCGAGGATGTGTTTCAATCGTTCCTGAAAAATTGGTAAATAGTTCACGATTTTCAGCGTTCACGTATATATTCTGTCCTGTATGTTTGTTAAAACTTTCTTCCAGGCATTTACCGAAATAGTGAGCTTTCGAATATTATTTTCGAGGCAGACGGCCGTTTGGGTCATGTTTGTAGACTCACCCTAACATGAAATATTATCGTCGCAAAAAATGAACGTTTGAAACGAACGTCGGTAGTCAATATGCCTTAGATCAGCCAAAAATGAATTTTTTTTATTAAAAAAGGTAAAGTGCGCAGACATCAGCCAGCAAAATACCCAACCGGAGCGCTTTCTAAATATGCAATAATATCAGCATTCGACAGTGTGCGCCACTTTGTATTTCAAAGTCTTCTACCCTCTTAAAGTCGCCAAAATAGGCCAGACTTCCTAAGGGATTACGCCGACAGCCCATTGTATTTGCACCACAGGAGGTTCAACAAGTAATGCCCTCTGTGCTAACATTCCTTGTGGTGTTTTCCTGTAATTCACTTAACTGCCGAAGATACCGTGGCGATTTTGTGTGCGTAAACTGGGAAAGATCACTACGTAACTTGTTGGTACTTGGCGAACCGATTTACTTTCCAATTTATTTATTCGAAGTTGTATTGGTGCCATTCCAGCCGATCTTCTTGATTCTCCATCAAAGTGAATGTGAGTAGTTTTTTGGTTCAACAAATGGCTTTTGAGTTTACAAAAAACGCCTCTCTTCTCAGCATCTAGATCCAAATAGGTGTCATATTAACCATCTTAGGGTGGATTAATCAGATTTCTCGAACGTCTGCCGAATTTCCCCTTGAGGAAGTTGCGTGGCCATGAGCAATTACGATAATTACATTCCCTGTGCAAATCTGCCGTGCCAACTCTTCACAAAAATCATTTTCAAATCTCACTACACGTTTAACAACGAAATTGTAGGGCACTTTCCTATGCTGATGCCTTTCCTAGACTTCGGTGGCGCATTTAAATGGGGTTTTTATTGAAAGAATACTAATTCACTCTTGAAGGTTTTACTAAACAGAGCTTGCCGCACTTTGAAATCGATTTTTGTCCGATTCTAACCGTGTAAACCAGGTTGCTAACACACAGGTTATTTCTATAGAACAAGGAGTTTTATCGGTTTTCTGAAGTCAGAGTAGCAGGAATAACGCACACAGGCAATCCCTCGTTTAAATGGACCGAAATTGTTTTGCCCTTTGGAAAATTATTTTTGTCCCAGAAATTACCATCACCGAACAACCATTTTCAGTTTCGAGCATATGACATATTGCTTTTCGTGCAGTTTAGCCTATGCGCATACCTAATTCAGAAATGGAACGAGCAAAATACTAACATTTTCAGTAAAATATCACTATTTATGTGGGAACTCTGCCATGCATTGATAATCGTAGAACGGAATGTAAAAGCGAGCAAAAACATTGCAAATGGCCGTAGTGTAAAGAGGAAGGCATGTTCTTACGTTTACGTAAAAAAAGTATTTTTATTGTTTAGGAATGTGAAAAAAACGACTAAAAGAGCCAAATGTTTTCTTGATCTCGCCGTGAAAAAATGCAAAGTACACAGAGATCCGTCAACGAAGTGCAGTATTAAAGCACTCCTTAAAGAGGTTACTTGTTAGAAAAAGTTGTGCAATTGATCGAAGGCATATTCGTTGCTGACGTTCGTTGTGGACGTCTTTTTTATTCGACGATGAAGTTTCATGTTTGAGTGAACATTCAAATGGGATCCAAATGACCTGCATGAAAAGGACGCCCAAACACTCGGTACATCGGTAAATGTCTTCAAGAAGTATCTTATATTAAAGTCTTAAACAGAAACATAATAGAAAGTTTGTCTTTATGGGCGACCGGGAGAAAACACTAAAAATCATGAAGTATTCAGCGATATTTCAAGGCCGATCAGAAAATCAACGTAATGCAGTCCTGCGGGATCTCTCTCGAGCCCAACCAGCAGCCGCACAGCAGCTACTGGGTGGACTCGTGAGAGAGCCCGTAAGGCACAACGGGACGGGTGAGTTCCGTAAGAACGATCGGTGAACGCCCCTCTATCAGTGTATATTCCCGATCGAAACCGACAGGACAACGGGCCCGTGACCCAGTGATTAGAGGCTTTGGACTTCTAACTAACAGGTCTCGAGTTCGGGCCCCACGTGTTCCACACCTCGAACTTGGGTATGACTGGCTGATGACGGCTAATAAGCCTTGATTGGCTATTCCAGCCTCCCTTGTCTTTGTCGGTAATAACATCTTGACAAAATAGTATGTTTACGATTACGCCTGTCAATTCTATTTAACTATACTAGGCACCGATTGGCCTGGCAGTATGTGACTTTATAAAAACTTTTGTTCCTATGACGTCCCCATTGGCGAAATCAAGCAAAACCCTGTTTCTCTTATTAAACCACATTTCGCTCATATCAAATCAACCAAAATACCATGAATCCTGGGAAAACTGTTTTGGAATCTACACTCAGACTTTAGGCTGTTGGCAGACTGCCATACTTGGCATTACGCTAATCCTAAAAGGATATTTAAATATAAACGTCAATAAAACGCCATTCCCAAATAGCATTATGTGTGTGCTTTCATATTTACTCAGTTTTTTCGCATGAGAAGACATTTTGTACATTTAAAAACGAAGTTCACTAAATTACAGACATTTTTTCAGGATTTATCGCTTTTCTAAAAGAATCGTCAATTCAAGACAACGTAACACTGCCTTCAATATTTCTTTTGTGTTTTTAATTCTTTTAAAGTTGTGCTTAATTAACATAGATATTGGATCCATGCATCGCTGTTGGTTTGCGAGTGAGTGGCACCTTTCGTGAGTTAGGTATCGCACTGTGTGTGGGGAAAAAAACAATTTTAGGTGCAGTAAGTTCCATCTGGTAACCCTCAAGTTTAGAAGACTCTTCTTGTAGAAAAACACATGCACATGTGCAAACTTAGTCCAGATTAGCTATTATCATAGTCGACCACCCGAATACAAAATAACGTGGATTTCCGCTCAAATTTGTAAACATTCTGACTGGCCAAATTATTTATAAACATTATCGCGTAGGAAAAGATAACATTTTCCAGAATAGGCTAAGCGAATAAGTAAAATGTGCAGCATTTTAACTGCGTACAATTGATCGTCTCGATTTCTTTCCGCCATGTTTCATGAATCAGGTCACATGCCGTATTTTGGTGGGGTTAAAGTATTGATTGCCGCACAGCATAATCGCATGATTTTTTAACCGCGACAGGATACCGGCTTTTGAATATGCTTTGACCATTCCGCCTGTAAAATCCACACTCGGAAGAAGAAATGACTACTTAAGCAGTATGCATTTTCCTGCTGATTTTCGCTGCCCTCATAAATTCAAACGTCTTTTTTAACAAAATATGCACAAAAATATTATTTCGTGTAATCATGCACATGGGTCACATGCACAAGGGGTTGAAGTATTTATAGGATGCAGTTGCCATGCTACCGAAAATTTTGGCGAACGCTTCCGTATGTCAAAAACTTGGGGTTGGAGTTGCACACAGACCGGAGGCAACCCTTAGGCGTCAGGTAATGAAACTGGAATACCCACTGCCCCGGCAAGAAACATCTGGAGTCGTTTATCGGATCTCGTGCAGTTGAGGACAACGCAACTACGTCGGCGAAACCGGAAGACAGCTCCGAATGAGAATGACCGAGCACGCTGCAGCAGTGCGAAGAAATGACGCCAGCTCTCAAGTTGCTGCTCATTCGACGAGCTCCGGCCACACATTCCCATTCGACTAGGCCGAAATTCTCGCAAGAGGCGACAACTGCGTGAGCTGGGAGCTGCTTGAGTCATGGTTTACGGGTCCCCATTTTATTAACAAGTGTAATGACCTTCCTCTTGCATACCCGGTACTGAGACTTCACCCAGGGCGGAGTAATTAGACACGCGGGGAGCGCAGAGGTGAACACTTTTACCAACCTCAGGGTCGGTGCGTCAGATGGTCGAGCCACTATCACACCAACATCCAACGCACTTGATGAAATTGCAGCAATTAACGACGCTAATGTCGGCCGTCAAATTGCCAGCTCACCAAGTGCAACGATCACTGAAGGGGGGGGGGAGCCCTGAATATTCATAAGTAGGCGGTGCATGACGACTGCATACTATGAATACCGCAGCCCCTTGTGCATGAACCACCCGTATGTTTTTGTTTCTGATGATGGGTTCGAGCAGGAATCCGAAACGTCAGGCTAATAAAGCTCTTGTCCCAGCAATCGTGCCTCCTTCGTCAAGACCACTTCCTGGGACTCGTCTCTTCGCTTCTATTGGCATCGAAAATCATTGGGGAAAATGCATGCAATTTAAGTAATTTTTACTGGATGTGGTTTCTACAGGCGGATGGACCAGAGCTTATTTTAAAAGCGTCATCTTGATGTGACTGAAACATATTGCGACTATGTTGCGCGGTTGCCAATGTAATAACCCCTCCTAATTACTTCCTGCTAGTCTAAAATACATTCCAGAATTTTGTATTCGCACCTGTTAGAGGTTAGGGTTAGGACTATGGGTTAGGGGCAATAATTGGGATTAGGGTTAGGGGCTAGAGTTAGGGGTTAATGTTAGAAGTTAGGTGTAGTGTTTAGGGTTAGGTTAAACCGTATGACAAGCGGCTGGGGCTTGTCTATTACAGGTACAGCTACAAATTAAGGTTCGATCCACAATTTCAGTTAACATTTCGTGAGATAGACCAGGTACCGTAAATTTCCATCATTACACTTCATTAGTTACATCACATACTCCTGGGTTGAGTTCTGTTTGGACGCTAATAAACCGTATATGATGATTGTGGTCTTTTTGTCGTAGACCACATTCCAACCCATCTGTCCGTGTGAGTTCAGCGATGTTTGTCTTTCCTTTCCAGATGGCGTCTTCGGAGCTCTAATGGATGTCTCCCTTGTGAACGACGGACCGGTAACTATTGTGTTGGATTCAAAGGTGCGCGAGGACGGCACACTCAAGGGGGTTGCCAGCTCACCTGCTGATCTCCAAGACAATGCTGCAGCCTCCGGAGATCCTTAGCCTTGATTACGACAATAAAAACTATATGTGTATATTTCTGTACTACACTACTAGGAACTTCTACGAACTGGGAGGCTTTATGGGAGGGGGGTCACCAGCAAGCATTTAAGGGGGTGCTGGTGTTTTAACGTTAAGGCGTTGATCGCTGAGAACAGCAGTTTCTTCGCCTAGGCTTTTGAATCGAGAACTCGGGACCACATGAAGGGCTGTGAAAAGTTCAACAAAGCGCAAAGATGTTATGTTTTGAACTAGCCCAGTTAGTTTGGCTAGTTTATAAATAGCTGTATTCGTCTCTAGGGTAGTCACCTTTTTTAACCGGGTTGCGACTTTTCGCTTGACCATGTGGCGTCTTATGTGCGACTTTAAACTCCACGCACTCGTTTCGCGGTGTTTTGATTGGTTTCCCGCCGCCTCTATCACCGCGCGCGCGCGCGGTGTTGGTGTCATGGCTGTAAAACCGAAGACGTTATTTTGCTGTAGACAGGATGTGGCCACGAGCGACTGCAGTCTCTCCCTGTATGTCTTCGCGGGTAAGTCGTCCTCACCACACGGTCGCCTCCAACACGAACCCCGCCCTCTGTCTTAACTCTCCGTCCCCCCTTCTTAAGAAGCAGTTCTACATAGGGAGGTGGGGGGAAGGGCGACATGCAATTTTTTAGGCGACCGGAGTTACTTTGATCCGTGTTCTCAATTCTCCCTATCATCAGCTGCAGTGGCACTCGGTAGCCACGTGTTAGTTACCCCGTTTTTGGACTCTAAATGCCTTCACAGCTGAGCGAAATAGACGCGGCTGAAGAACATCAAATAGGAACTTCCCCATCCACCCTTCCAATCCCACTGCCTTACCGTCAGATTGACTCTCGTCAAGATGGCGACCCGGTGTGCTCCTTCACTTTTAGATATCGACCGCATACCAAGGTTTGTGAGCGTCTACTATGCCACGGTCAGCGAACCTTGGCCCCGACAGCCTAGTGTGCTCTGGCAGTTTTCCGGTACCTGATTCCCTGGCGGTAAATGCGCTTGCGCTCCCGCTGGGCATACGAGTCGCGTGCATGGCTGCCCAGTTATCCACTTCTTTTCTGTTGTCCTTGTTGTTGGTCGGGTGTTTGTTGTGAACCAGGGGGATGGAGTGAAACGCCAAGGCGTGGGTTCGGCCGCGCCATCCACCTGGGCCCTGCCCGCCCCCCCTGTTCCTGACGCTGGGCCCAGGTTGGGAGGAGGAGAGCATGTGGTACATGCCACGCAAGTCTACTCTCACTGTAAACTGATTCGTGCTCCGATCTTCGTACCTGCTTCGCCTTACTGTGGAGCACACGGTAGACATCTCCAGATGTGATGGTCAAACTATCGGATATCAGCGAGAAAATAGGGCAGTCCTCGTTTTCCGCAAACTTGCTTACTAGAAGACGGGTATCTTGGCTGTCGACGGAGCTCTAACCACCAAACAGGGGTACTTGAGCTGAGAAAGACGGACTGCGCTTCTGCTCGGGGTAAGAAAAATCACCGCGGTCGCCAGCTCCTATGCTCGGTTACAAGCCCGGACATATGTGAATCTTCAATCGCTGGCCTTAGTGCATCAGTGGCCACAGAGCATGCCCCCGAAGAGTTAGTGCTTGATCGTCACGGTTAAGAAACCGCACGGGGTCACGAACGCAACCTTCACCCTGCTCACTCCACTGACATCCACGTACTCTCCAATGGAGGAGACCGCCGCTATATGATCATAACATGGACACTGCTTAGTGCGGATTGCTGGGCCGACCACCGCTCATTTGTTTAGATGCGGAGGTTAAAAATCTAACCACGAGGGACAACTCGTAAGAAGATACTACTCAGAAAACTGAGCGTCTCAGAACAGAGGTATAGCAAGCACAGACGAGATCTCTAGAGTAGAACAAACGCCAACCAGGCTCTGAAGTGTGAAAGTGTTGAGAATGCATGGATCAGACTACGCCACGCCATCTACACCACCTTGTAACCGTGCGCCGATAACACCAGAACTAGTTTGTAGACATCAAGGCAGAAGCCCAGCACGTTTGGAGGCGGAATGAGTACCTCCTCTCCCAGCACATGCGGTCTTCTGCTAGGTTCCAGGGGAGTTATGGTTGGTTCTGGGGCTAGAGACAGGACACTTTACTAGGTAACCCCTTCTCTGGAATGTAGCGTAAAGCAGTCCGTAAGGCGGGGCTGTGCTTTTCCGCATACCCGTAAAGGATGTGGTTCACAAGGATTACACAGACAACGGCTCCACTGCAGACGCAGGCACAAGTGATCCGTGTGCCTTAGTATGTGACATGTTTATGTCTCCGCAAATGTCAGGCGAACATTCCAGAAGCACGCGCCGCATGAAGTCAAGACGCAGACGTTGGCTTTTCGGTAGATAGTCCTGCTTTCCCGTCGAAGGAACAGTCTTTTGCGACGGATGTCTTTTACAGGCAATGCACAATTATATTCCTGAAGTAACGACTAGCATTGTAACTTTAGAAATTTAATCCAAATCCCTCAGTACAGATAACTCGAGTTTTCATTGGTCGGAAACGGGAACGCGGACTTCTGTACTAGAAGGGGGGGGGGGGTGTACCGACTCCCGTGTATGAACTTTACCGTCTGCATTGTCAGTATGCCTTACCAAGAATTCCTCCTTTTGGAGAGTTCGTGTTTTGGCTTTAAAAGTATTTACTAACACCTGCTTATCATAACCCATTGCCTGCGGTGTACACACTCGCGTTATTATTATTATTATTTTAAGGGCGTTCTTCCGTCAACTGCCCAGCGCCTGCGGATCACGTTAGAAACTTAAGGAACAGAATTTGCAAACCTCTTGACAGTGGGTCACGCGAATAATCTTTCGAAAGTTCTAGAAACAGAACTTTTGTAGTATTCCGATGCAAATATTGGGGAAGATGCGTATTCATTTAAAACAGGTGAAAGGATTGATTTCTCTAAAAATCGAGGCAGGGGTCGTAGTTAGTCACAGACTTAATGTCAACCGTGGCCATGTCTTCAGTAGGAAATCTCTAACCCGTAGCAACTGAAGGTAAAATCGTACGTGACCATAACCATAAGCCAAGTCCTAAGCCATAACTGCAGCCCAAGCCTGGCAATGCTAATCTCAAGAATAGCTCAACTAACACCAATCCTGGCCGTTGCTTAGACCCTAGCCAAGCGCTCAAAACGGGCAAACGTAATGTCGCTAACTCTATCGGATGTCAAACTCCACTCCCTGCATAACCATAATCGCACACCTGATTAAGATAAGACGGTAGATGATGTGATCACTGGAACAAGAAATCTATTAGCCTGACGTTTCGGATTCACACTCGAACCCCTCATCAGAGACAGTCGCAGATAAGGGGTAGGTAGGCTTTTGACCAACCACCCAGGGGGGTTACATATCCTAGCCCCACCAAAATCGCAACAAATTTACATTGACATTGGAAAGCAACATAAAAACGCGTGGCATTTTGGACGTCCGTTAAATTTAGCCGAGAATATCCTCACCGAGAAGCCGTTGGAATGCCGCGTATGCTCGGATGTGTAGTTTCGCTCCCTTTTAGTCAGACTTGGCAGAGCACCTGAACAACCACCCTCATAGAAAAGCGTGTCGTAAAAGGCCCATCACTTGTTCATGGACTTTGGCGCATACCGCATTTATGACGGCTGCTTCTCTCAAACTCGACCTTTGCGATCGGTAATTGTCGGGCCCTGCGCGTTTGGGTTAGTGCATCCCCCTGAAGAGAACGCGTTCGAGAAAACGCCTCGTCCTTTGAATAAACCAGCCTTCCTGCTACTCCCTCTAGATTCGGACGCTGACTAGGGGCTTAAGCAGACATTAACTGTCTGAAACCCGCGCACACAACGATCAACACCCGCCACGATGAGGTATCGCCATATTTCAAGCCAAATCAAGCAAAAAAATCATTGAGCCTGCAGGCCGATAACACCAGGGCAGGTTTGAAACCCAGCACCTGTTTCCCGTGAAGCATCCGCATCACAATGTCTGAGCCAATAAGGTGCAACAGAAGCAGACGAAGTCGAAAGATTTATGAGGATGTCACATCTACAGACGTTGAGGCGGTGGATAATAACAAAAATAATGATTGACTGATTGAAGTGGTGTTTCGGGAGGGCGGTCAACGTTCGTTGACGGCGTGGGAGGCGACGGAGTGATGGACGGAGAGGAGACGGTTACGCGTGCTGCAGTTTGTCCGGAGGTGTGCAACAAGCCCAACTGGCGCCCGTAATGGCCTTTGATATCGTGGACACGTTGGAGCCGTTAGGGCGTTGACGTTGTGGGGCGGCGGCGGCGACGGCGACGGCAGTCGAGATTTGAGTGTCTCGAATTTGACTTTGTCGGCGGTGATGCGGTTGACTTCGAAGATTGCTGCGCCTGTTTCCAATGTTCTCCTCCATGTTGGTTGGTACCGGGCGAGGTCTTCCTAGTTTGCCGGGTGGATCTGCAGGCGCTTCAGGGAGGTTTTAATAGTATCCTGGTAGCACCGGACATGACCTCCTTGTCGGCCGCCGAACTCCACTATGGGCCACGACTTTGTTCATTGGATGAGCGACTCGATTTAGCCTGAGACTGCCTAAGGCATCGCCGTGAGTTTTAAGGAGGGAGGGGGAAGGGCAGAGGGAAGGAATGCAGAGCTATTCCGTCCCTCTCTAAGCTGCTGAAATATAAACGGTTAGCAGATAAATTCAACAAAATGGCACTTAGCTTACAATAAGGACAGGCACAGACATGCAGACAAAAAGCAAGCAAGTATAGCAACAGGCGAAGGAAACTGAACGGAACGGCAGTCAGTTTTCAACAAAAACAAACACATGCAGTCAGACAGAAAACAAGCAGACAAGAACAAGCAAAAGCAAAGGCAGCAAAGTAACGTTAGATTACCTGGGGCTCACTTACTTTGTGGCCTCCTACGGTGTTCTAGATGGAACCTCATCACGGAGACGGCAGTGGCGGCTAGCGAAGCCGAAATTACCGTGTGAGGAGA